CTATTCGCTACAAATATTTTATAGTCTTTCTACTCTTTTCAATGTTTGAGTATTTTCCCGTAGATTAGTTGCTGTATTTTTTTGTTATATAGCTACAGAGTTTTTTCGAGGTGTAATTTAATTCTTACTTTCTTTTTATATCACTTATCAATACAAATGGTTGTTATTTATCGTATGAATGAATGTAATTATTGTAATTCTAATCTGATATTTATTTCTTTAAATGTTTACGAAAGTTTTGCATCAAAGATTTTAATTCGATACGATTAAACTCAATTAACCAACTGAGTGAATATGAAATTCTAAATAATCATGGATTTATTGTGGCAAAAATTATATATAAAAAATTAATATTAATATTTTACTTTATAATATAAGCTTGACTTTTTTTTAAACTTGGTCTTCTTAAAATTAACTATTTATCGATCAAATAAATAATTTTGAAAAATTTTATCAACAGTGAATCTAAAGTCATAATACAAAAAGGAAATTCACTCTAAAAAATTTTTTTGCTATACATCACTTAGATATTCGATTTTCTGTCGCTGATGCATCTGATGGACTTTAGATACATCAAAAAAGGTAAACAAATGTAAAAATCGTATTTTTATCCCCGTTCCTCTTGAGAAAATTCTCGAGTGATAAAAGGAAAGTGAGAAGAGTTGGCAGAATTTAAAAGTGCTTTTAGCTTTTAACCTCGACGATACCGTTAAGAAAGCGTTCCAACAGATTTCATTTACTACGACTTGTGCGCGTGGCCAAAGAAAGAGGGATGAACAGAAATAAGACGACTATAAGAGCAAAGAAAGTAAGGGCTAGGAGGGGTTGTCGGTAACACCGGTTATTAAGTAGATGCTACATCGGTAGATGAATATTTAAGACGTTCAACAAGTTGCGGATTTTTCTTTAATCAGAGCACGGTGGCGCGTTCCTTTCTTGCACCCTCTGGCACGACGGTCGTTGGCTTTCTCACCACTGACTCCGCAAGCGTCAACCCCTCTGCTGCACCCTGTGGAGATTTCTCTGCAAGTTTATCGCGCTTTGAGATCACTAGCTATTTAACATTCTTTTTAGATTTTTCTTAAGGAAAATTTGTTGGTGGATTCATTGAAAAAATGAATTATTAGACTTTTAGAAAATCAGGAAAAATTGTTGCAACATCACCTTTTAATAAATACATATATCAACTCGAAAGAAAAATATATTAATAATTTTTAATAATAAAAGTAAACAAAGCTTACGAAAAATACACACAATTGATTATAATTATATAAAGTTGAAAAACATTAATTTTAACAAATAAAAAATCGTTTTTTTTTTTTTTTAACAGTAATAAATCTCTTCTATCAATGTGTTTTTTCTACCTTGTTTTTATTTGAAATACATTTTATATTAATAAATAACTTATTAATACTAAGCTTCATGAGCAACAAAAAAAAAAATGAAGTAATACATTATAATTAAAGCAAAGCTGTTATGAAGTAAGCTTTGGTAGACATGTTAACCAAGCGAGTTTATCAATTGAGGTGCTTATATGTGCAGTGGCTTAAGCCTCTTGCGAAAAGGTTTTTATAAAATACTATAAAGCCACATGGTAAATAGTTTTTCCTCGATATTCGTCGGCCAGAAACAAACAAGATTCTTTATAGATGGAACAAACCACTCTTCCATAAGTACATTGGAGTTTTGCTTTTTCTTTATATATCACCATCTCCCTTTTCCTTTCATACCATTCATCTCTCGTGCTCATTCTATAGCTGATATTCACTTACTCTTACTCTTTTGCCTTCCATCTCATTTCCTCTTGCACTGCAAGATTCGCGCGCTACTCTTATATACTTGCACACTCTTATGTGCATTTGTGTGTTTGTTTGCGCGTGCTCGCAAAAGCCCGCTTAAGTAAAGTAAGGCTTTTAGCGAAGTGGCTGATTTATCAATGTATTTATTCCGAGATATTGAATTTATTTAGCTAAGTAATGTTGCACGCGCTTGAAACTTGTGTTCGCTATTGCTTTTACTTTAATACTTTATTGTTTATTTTACCACATATAATATATTGACATTCATTCGATTTAACATCATAAAGTTGCTATAAAAATTTATTGAGAAACTATACTTAAATTGATAAAATCTCTTTAATGTCATTTTGAAATACCTGTCGTTCATCACTCGACAGCTGCTGTATTGGTTGCGTGTGTCTGAGGGTTAAACCTGCTCTCTCTAGGGATCACTTGGGCTTCTTGTATCCATTACGCACATATCACCATCAGCCTTATCATCACTCCAACTAAGGTAACATTACTCGGGACTATTTTATTTGTCATCACGTTTATTATTGGTGTTAGCTTAATAGTCAGCTGCTATTTTTAATTCTACTATTCTTGTCGTGGCTATCCAATTAATTGATGTGTCAACACTTGTTCAATTTTCGTTTAAAAAAAAAATAACCTCAAAATGTTACCCAGTTTTTTTTCAATCTATTTCTGCTCAATTTCATGTCGAAAATAAATGAATATTTTTGCATTTAATGACAAGAATTATATTCACAATCTTTTCTTTTGAGTTTTAATTATTATTTTCTGATGATTTATTTATTTTAATTAAAAATATAATTAAATGTAAATCTGACAAAACAGCTGTTACTCGTATTAAGCACATTTTCTTATTTATTTACATAACTCGAAGCTTAAAATTAACGCTTTTGAAAGCAAAAAAAAAAAAATTTAGCTCAAAGGAATGAGTTATAATGGAAGTAGTATAATGAAATTAATTAAAAATTTAAAAACCGTAGGAAAATATTTTAAAAAAGTGTTTGAATTTTTTATGATTATTATCAGTATACTTATGTAAAAGCATTGTGTAATGCGAATAGAGTAATGTGGTAATTAAAGTGCAGTAGATTGAATAATTTGTGAATGAAGAGAAGTGGAGCCAAGAGACAAGTCCAATGTCAACAGGAAATTATACAAAAGTTCCGTCGTTCTCGCGTAGAAACGTTTCCCTCGACGTCCCTTTCAGAGCTTATACCACTAGCCACCCTAGGATTGGGGACTTGCTCATCCTACCGTCCGCTCCATCTCTCTGTTTAATGCAGTCCATTAGAGTGCATTTAGATCGAGGGATAGTTAAAACGTGGGCCCCAGGTACACCGATGAGCATCGTTGGTCGTAGACAGGGTATATACATATATATATATAAGCATTCTCGCGTTGGGAAATTGTTGCCAGGGATGCATCGATTCGACTGCGCGCGTTTCAGAAAAAAAAAAAAAAATAAGCAAAAAAATGTGTATTAAATAATATATTACATTTCCCGAGGAAAAAGTAAAAATAGTCTAGGTCAGCAGGGAGGCTTTTAATAAATTATAATTACCCTAAAAACATGTGGATGCACTATCTAGATGAGTAATAAGAGTGGTTATTATGTTTTCAACTTCAATTAAAAAATTGTTTGCATTTTTTTTATTAGCTCAATACTTTTTTTCTCGAGAGTAAAAATTAAATAGAAATGCAATATGATGATGAAGGAGGATATATGGTAATTGCACTAGAAGCAATGTTGAAGAGTGATCGCAAAATTTCATGATAAACATTCTAATAACAGATGGATGTGGAGTCTTCACTTTGTATAGTATATTCGTTGTATACAGAATGACTCGAGTACTAGTATAGACAGAACGATATAGGGTTTGATTGCACCGACAACGACTTTGGCATTAATTAGCGTGCATAATTGTTTACCAGCGCTTAGTATAGAACTGGATCAATATTTAATTGAATGCCTGCTAAATGCCAGCTGCATCGCCAGCCCTCAAATCGAGCTGCTTTCCTCTCGTTTATATCGCTTCTCTCTGTCTGACTTTCTGAATAACCTCAACCGCGTGATACAATACTCGAGATGGCGAGCACGCCGGTCCACGATGTCGTACACCATGTTCGACTTGGTACTCGACTTGCCTTATACACTACTTATATACTCACTTCTTCTTCCCATTCTACTTTGCACTCCCTTTCTTCCCATTCACACCCTTCGCTGGTGCTTTATCTTGTGCCCTCTCCCGAGGTCAAATCGACGTGTAGACTCGCTAATGAGCATGACAGTAACTCTGATAACTCACTTGTTCTATTAAATTAACCACTGAACTTATGGATGGCTTTATTTTCAGCTAGTCATTTAATGTTTTATTGAAGAATATTTTAATTTTAATTTTCATGGAATCGAATAATTAGTTTTGTTACAAAATTATTAATCCAAAAATAGTAAACAATATTTATGAATAAATGTCAACTATTTTTAACTTACTGATGGGAAATTATTGCAATGGGGGCAATTCTGGAAATTTGTAATTTAATCATATCTTCACGTTTTGAGACATTTTAAAATATATTACAAGATTTAAAAATAAATTTACATACAATTGTCTGTGTGTATGTCAGGTTTTTTTTTGTTGTTTTTACAAACAATTAAAAATGATTTCGATTTATTAAATTATTATAAACATGATTATATTCGATAAACATAAATAAAATGTTGATATTTTAAATAATTTGATGTGATTAAACAACTGTATATTACAAACTAAGGTCAGACCTATTTTTAATAAAATAAATCAATAAATAATTTAAATAAAAAATCATTGATATGACTATTGAAAATTGTTAGAAATTTCGTCAAAGAGTGTTGTTTTAATTAGATAAAAAAAAATTCAATATTTTTTTAATTTATTTTCACATCAAATCAATTTTATTTATTGCCAATAAATGATGCCAATTTTTTCATAAATGCAGAAATGAATAGATAATTTTTATTTTTATTTTTATATGCAGACGATTCTGACAGCAATCACTGAGCAAACAATTACTAGCTAAATTTATTAAAAAAGCTCTATTATTTATTCATCGAACGATTTAAAATAGAGATGATTGTTTTTATTTATTTATTTTTTACCAAAAATATTTTCTAATTTTTTAACTGATGAATTTTTATTTTTTCATTTGCAGGATTGTTGAGAGAAGATACTTGGCATTTATATATAAAGGTATGCACACACAATAAAATCCGCCAGACGATTTCCGTTTTACTAACACTGGAAAACATGGTATTCTATACACCATGGCGGATTTAATCTTAGCAAATTAATTCCATTTTCTCGGAACATCGTGCATTCTCTCTGTTTCGTCCTTCATCAGTTCAGGTATGTGCAAATACTATCATCGTCACTCCTACCATTATCATACTCTCTTTCTACCTACATTCAACTCTCAATCTTATTCGTCTTTACTACCCCTGCTTACGAACTACTTCTCGTACTATGTTCTCTATCTCTCTTTTATACTTACTCCTAACATTGCGTAGACAAGTGAAAAAGCAATAAACAGCTCTTTAATGAATTGTTAATTGTTTATACAATACTACGTCTCATTAATTTATATCAAATCTAACTTTAATAGTTCATAAAATAATTATTTATTAATTTTGATCCGTTAAAAGTTAAAAGACGCCTGCAGTTTTTTTTATCGAAATGACGTTGCTTAGTCTTACCCCAATACTCAATCATGCCTCAGGTTCCCTTTTGATTAATTTTTTGTATAAAACAGTATTAAGATCAATTTAATTGATAAGAAAAGTTGGTGTGGGTTTTTTTTTTGTTCTAATGATGATAAAAATCATTATTAAGATTATTCATTTTATATGCAGATTAATGATATATATGAGCCTTATTTTAACTTAGTATTAAGTTTTTAAAACATCCGGATCATAAAAAAAATAAATGTAGTTTATAAAGTCAAAAATTTATTACATCCTTTACTTGCTTCGTTAATTTTCTATTTATTTTGCAATGTAAATAAATGTTAAATTTATTTCAAAAAAAGTTTATTTAACTTAATAATTACTATCAAAGTTGCTTCATCACACTAGAGATAATTTATTTTAAATGAAATAATTCCTTCTCACGTGGTCACAAGGGGAAAGAAATGAGTGTAGGTCAAACGAGCAATAGGATTTTTTTGCGGAACTAAATGAAAACGAGTGGATGGACATTTGGTGGGTATGATGTATATGTATATACATAAAATAATAGAGTCTGAATAGTATTGTGGGAAACAAGGAAGCTAGTGATGTCATCAAGCCTTCTTTACCTCGGTTGCCAACTAACAGCGACGATGCTAAATGAGAAAATAAAATGAGCGAATGAGCTTTGCGTGGAAGTGAACAGAAATGAGCCAGGTGGTGAGGTAAAGCGTTTAATGAAATCAGCTGGGTCTCTCTCATTTTCTTGGGGACTTGAAGCCCGTCTTCGTTTTAATTATACCACAGCAGCTCTTACACGTGAAGACCTTTGCCTGGTGTATCCTTATCCTGTTTTGTCACTTGATTTTCATCTTGGTATTCCTTTGAAAAGATATACATTGTCGACAGATGATTAAATAAAAATACAATATCATTATATTCACGATAATGACTCCTTCATAACTTCATATTCATCTAGACATTAATCTTAAAAAAAAGAACTGACTTTATCTCATTATACAGTCGTACCTTATATCTCATTTCTATTTCGAACATTGAACAAAATTAAATAACAGAAATCAGTTGACTTTGAGTTGACATATGAGGGAGGCAGCTGACGAGGAATGTGTTAATGAGATCATTTAGCATCTTCTATCTTTTTTCTTTTTCCTCCTTTGACCTCCAGACGTACTACATCTATATTTTCTCATGTTTATTTTTCTTTTTAATTTATTTACTGTCAAAACTCGGTTAATTTAATAAAATATTAACCATAAATACTGATCATTTCGTTACTTCTTCAGCTAATTAGTTTTTAAAATAGAAAATTCCGAGATTGTTATGCAAATAGCGATTCATTAACTGTGAATGCGGCAGATTTTGCGGATTATTTTTAGTCTAAAGTATTATATCGCCGCAGTCCGACGATAAACAATGCGTACAATGCAGTTCATTTGTGTGACTTAAGTTATGGTTTTACCAGCTGACTTCATCATAACCTGCTCTCTCTTTCAAAGAGTCTCAACTTGAAACTCGTAAAAAAAAAGAACCTTTTATTACAGTTCTTAGTAAATTGTCTACTGAAATCATTATTCAGATGCCATTCAGTGATTTTTTGGTAATCTAAAAATAATATTTAATACCTCATTTGAATATCGAAATTCGAAGTTTAGCTACAAATAATTATAATCCTTTAGAGATTTATGTTCATTGTTTGGGAACAATATTTCTTAATTTTCTATAAATCTTTGAACAGAGAAATACATCTCTTCTCTTTATTAATTGCTTTTTGATAACCTCGAGCATCTGTGTGATTTAAAATGAAATAATTTTGATAAATATCTAGAGCTAAAAAAAAAAATGAAATGATTAGAGTCTTCTCTTATATCTTTTCAATGGTCGTTTTCAATTTATATATGTTTTTTAACAAGTCATTTCATTGCTCGTTAGTTGAAGATATGAAAAGGCGATAATAACGAGCGGAAGCACCACTTTTACTAACCCATATCTAATACTTTGCTCGGTTAATTATTTTCTCAGCAGGAAATTTATAAATCATAGTTATTTATGAATATTGGACTGCGTTATGAAAATATTGATTCGTGATTTACGTTGAGTTTTATTATTTTATTTATCAATTATTTTACTTGCTGTTATTATTTCTTGGATATAAATTGCTTTTCGGAAGCAATACCTTAATAAATAAGTAGGTAAATTTATCCTTACTATTTATTTTCCATCTTTTTCACATTGTTACATCAAAATATGATTTTATATTCAAAGCAACATATTTAAAAAACATCGCAGAACATTATTACTACTGTGAATTTATAATGACAATTACCATAAAAATTGTCACACGATAAAATATTTGAAGAAATTTATGGTCACCTTTCGTGGAGAAATCGAGCTGGGATAATACTGAGAAATAAGAAGAGAAAAAATGGAAAAAGACACGAGCCACCTACAGACATGTACGTTCAAGAATTTTACAGCCAATTATTTTATACGCTGTTTTATTGCATTCGTGTAACTTGACTTAGTCTCTGAAGAAGGAGGAGTCTCTTTGCAATCGAAATCGTATCTGAAGATTGTTACATCAAAGTGGAGGAAAATTGTCCTGGGAATGTTTTCTTCATTGAGAAAAGTTATTCTCTTCAATCACTAGTGCACATTAATTACCCCTAGTGTTTGTGTGTTTTTTTTTTACTGCAGTGTTTTAATTGTTAGAGAAAAAAAAAATTCATTGAGTTATTTATCGAGAAGTTTTATCTACAAAGCTATTGTGTAATGGTAATTATCATTCAAATTTATTGATCAGTCCTTTCGGTTAATTAAAATATTGAATTGATGAATTTATTGATCGACTTAGCACATCAATTATTTGAGATTTTATTGATGCTGTACAAATAAGTATAAATATTGTACACAAACGTAATTTTAGTTGAATAGAGTTGAGATATATCGTGAATCATCCAACACTTTTACTAAAAGAGATTTTACGAGACGGCAAAATTTATCGTGCTCGAATCATCAGCTGGATTATTAAACTCCGTAAACAAACGCTTGTTAAATCATAAGAAATATAGCATGAATAGTAAGAAGCGATGAGTAATAAAAAATCGCCGGAAATTTATTTTTTTTTATCCTAACGAAAGTTATACATGAGGTTTTTATAATTTTTTCTATGGTGTATATAATCATCTTGCAATTCGTTCTCGCACAAATGTCAGTATAGTTTACCAGTAGACCATTACAAAGTACCTTACAATGTGCATACATTATGCACACGCGAGCTGGAACACCTTGCATATACTAAAAATAACAATTTAAATATCTGAACCCCCCCTGCTTTAGCATGACCCAACCTCTTTATTCTAAGACTCTAAGATTATCTCCTTGTTTCTATCTAAACGTCTCATTTTTATGCACCATTGAAATTTCTCATCTTTCTTTGCTATGCCGACCCTTTAACTATACAGATTTTTTTAGTCACGCGACAGTAGCAGAGATTTCTTTTTTTAATTAAAATCATCATCATCTTTTATTTATTAATAAGTGCCTCCTAGTTTTGAACAATTAAAGATTTTTTTTTTAGTCTGAAAAACATATTGGTGATTCTACTTGAGATCTACAGTGTTTTTAATAATATTGGATGTACCATGTATAACCCTGGATGTATTTTAGAGTTAAATTAAATATTAATTAACTTTAAGAGTTTCAAGATAAATTTATTTAAAAATTAACAATCCAATACTGAATTAATAGATAAATTTCATTAAAATTAAATTATATTCATTTTTCTAAAAATTCACAATCTGAATTTTACACATAGCTTACTACGTCGTCCCCAGAAATTCTTCTGATAGTTTTTTTAATAAAACTGCACGGTTTTGTCAAACTGATGTTCCAACAGTAGATGGAACAGTAGCAGCAATAGCTGCTAAAAGTTTAGGACTTGATGTCAATGATGGTACACCATGTTCTGTTGAAAAAGTAATATTTATCATTCAAAAGTCATCTATTTTCCAGGATATTTATGATTATACATTTTTGAGATGAACACACTTTTCAAGGATTAGAATTCAACATGGAAATAACCACTTTAGATAAATTTTTTGACAATGACATACCGTTTATTTTGTTGATCATGACAGTCCCTGAAGAAGATTGGGGTATAGGAGTGCATATATTCCCAGAAGAGAAGCGATCAGAATATTTAGCTACTGTGAATAAAAAAGGATATTAAACAGTGATAAAAAATACATCTAGAAGTAATTATACTTTCAATAAAGGTTTATTTATAACAACACTAAAATATGGAATCCATTAAAAAATAATCAAATAAGTAATGATGAACTTTCTGTGCTTGGAAAGTATTATTCTTATTGACTCACAATGGAAAAGAAGGAATTTCTCTGTATGTATTTGGCTTTCTTTATCACTAGGATTAATCGAATTCCAACTAACTGGACAGTTAGCATGGCTTTTAATGTTTGCCATTTTTTAGATACTTTATGTTTGAATGCCTAACCATTCTGGTGTGCATCTTTCAAAAAGGACTTCCTCATCCTCCAAGGTGTAGATTTTTCTACCATGAAAAGCACTTGCTGAAATGATAAGACCAAGTTCTTGATATTCATTATTTATTTTATATTTTTTTGGCTAATCAATGCAAGATGGGGGAGCCACTGTCGACTTCGAATATTAAACAATTAAAAATACTTATTAATTAAGGTATTTAATAGTTCTGAATAGACACTGACTTGATTTTTAATTGAATTTATTCTATAAATATCGATCGAACTCATCAGAATATTTAAAGTAAAGTCACTCTTTTCCAAGTAAGTTTTTAATTATACGACCAAGTATGTTCTCAGTTTAAAATTTTAATAAATTCATTAACGATTTAATGAAGTACTTGAAGGTTAAGACAAGTTGACATTTTCACATGCTCATTAATTTAAATTAACAAATTAAATAAATTCTTATTATCAAACACTAGTTAAATTTGAAAATCATTCAATATGATAGCAACGAAGAATGGGAATTTGATTAAATCAGTAGAACGTTTTCTTTTATTGAGTCATTTACAGCTTCTTGTGTATTATATTTGGTCTCGACAGGTTGGCAAGCCACGTCCGCACATTAAATCGCCTCTGGTAAGTCTGAGGATTGTAACTGGGACCTCAGTAGAGCCATGGATTGAAGGAGTCTTAGCGCAATTTCTTCGAATCAAGCGAAAGCCAATTACAAGTTTAATTTAGAACTTTACCTCACGATAATTAGCCGGTAAATTAAATTTACTTACGACGAGAAACAATCAGGAAACTTACGTTGGAGGTTTCTCGTAACCAGAGCGTCGGCAACGTTGCACTCATATACTTCACCTCCTATAAGATATTCAATAAAATTAATTACACGAAATGGAATGAAATAAGAGGAAAAAAAGTGTAATAATATTTTTCTTTAACTTTAAGTCATAAATTATTTCCTTTATTGTGAGATATTCCTCATCAACACAATAGGTGTGATTCTTATTTACGTCTGTTAATCGGAATGGAATAAAACTGTTTATTAAGTGGTCCTTGTTACGCTGTGTTAATCTCACATCTCGTAGTAATTAACCGCTTCCTTAAACCTCCTTTCCTATCATCACATCATCTCTTCCATTCTTACTGGAAGATTACCTTTAATATAACCATGTCAAGTTCTAAACACTCCTTCAGGTTGCATTGCAGAAATTGTTAAATAGAATTTGTTAAAATTTCTTTCAGATTTTCTTTATTGTATTATCTTTCAGGTGAAATTAGTCTGGAGTTAATATCTTCATTGGTTCTCGAAATATCGAAAATGAAAAAAAACTTGACATACGTACGTACATAAATTTATTGTTAAATATGCTTTTAAATGTTTCATAACGTGAAAATATAATAAAATACAAATTTCAAAATTCAACCCCATTACAGTAACTCCCTAATTGAAAGTTAATAATTATTTTAAATTGGAAGCATTGGAGAATTAATTCGATTGATAAATTGATGGTATTTTAAACATGAAAGTATTTATTAATGTTGGGGGATTGCTCAAACATCATCATTATATCATTGAGAAATGAAAAAGTGCATTTAATGGTTGGGTTTATTGCTATATAACTTGGCAAATGTCAGAGCTATAAACAAATGAGATATATTTCTCATTTAGGTGGTATGAGAGTTGAAGTTGAGGTAATAAATTAATATAATTTAGGCATTAAAATGTTGACTAATGTCGAGGGCGTCCGCGCATCCGTGAAGTTGGTATGCTGGGCTTGCTGACGTCACAGGACACGTCACTCAAACTCAAGAATGGCCGGAAGTCGTGAAATAGGATTAACTCACTTACCTGTGTCCGTATACATATAGTATATACGAACGTTACGAGGTGATAATTGAATAGATAGTGTACCACTCGTGTTAATACCTTCTCTCATTCGATTTTTCTAACGTCTGCAGGACGTGGCCCAAGTTTCCTGTGATTTTTCACAGGAAATTGTCTCAGGGTCTTTTGCTCGTGCTACATATATCTGTAACGATATTTCAACACCAGGATAATGAATATTTCCTGTTATTAACACGTGTCTTGATTCAAAAATTTTTTTGAGAGATAAATGTCTTTGTCTTTGACATGCTGCCTCAGTTATTAAAATTTCAACTTATCTACATTTTAATGTCTTTTCTGCTCGTTTTCATGATTGGTTGTAAATTATATTTTTCATTTTAAATTTTAATTAATTTTTCACATCCTTTTTTGCACTTTTGATCTGTTAAAAAAAAGATTTATCCTTTTTTTTTAACTTAACTTTTTTTATAGCATGATTTTGTTATCTCCAACAATTACAATGGTTATTAGGTGTTATTTTGAAAATAATTGAAAGCACTATTTTTTAGCTCGTGTGAATAATCAATTACTAGCACGAATGCATGAAATTTGTTCATAAGAAGAAAATTAACAATAATCATTATAAATATTGCGCAATAAATAGCTTTTAAATCATCAAAGCTCCAACTTGATGTTGAAAAAAAGAAGAAAACTCTTTCTTCAAAATGATGGCATTGAAAAATATCGCCAATGGTGTCGGATGTTTTTGAAGATTAATCAAAGGACTTGAGATAGATTAGGGATTTTTAAAATGGCAATTAAAAGTCTTATGTAATAATTTAGCTTTGATTTGCATGAATCCATATAGCTCTTTTATAACAGCTGTACATATATATATGATCAAAGAGTGAATCAAAAAGAAATAGTGAATTATTGCGGGAAGATCCGAGACGACTTAAGATATACTGGAGGGTCTTTTGGCGAGGCTGTGAGAAATCAAAAGCCGTATCGCTTGCGAGGAGCTAATTCGGCGCGATGCATCAACGCGGTACAGCACAGACTGCACTTTGTGGAGGCAGTTAAATTGACATACCGTATATCAGGGAGAAGTATGGGGTCCGCTACAAGTCCAGAGGAAAAGAGAAAAAGTCATTTCGGGACAAGATTAGACTGGCTATCTCACGTCGTTATGCATCTTTAGGAGACCTCGAAGTCCCTCAATTTGGCTTGACTGCATCCGGAAAGGATTCGTGAATTTATTTTCTCTACGACAGCTACTTTGCAAGCAATTAAAAATTTTAATTAAAAAATAAAGTGTTATATTCGTGGGGTTAATGATGGTTTAATTGAAAGCTCACTTGGTACTCAGGTAAACTAAAACTTGGCTGTAGCAATCATTAACGGGTGTCCACGCTGGTTTTCCGTCTGAGTACTAACGAGAGCTAAACACTAGTACATATGTATCTATATGTGTGTGTGTGTGTGTATATATTCACATCGACAAATAGTTGAGTACTAGTTGGTGCACATCGCACTTGTTAAATCGGCCATCTCTTGTCGCAGCATCCCATCGTGTCCGTGGCCTGAGGTCCTGCGGTAATAACTGGACGCCATTATAAAACCTCCCCAGGGTAAAGCCGACTAAGGGTACTCTCTCTACTTACTCTCTTTTCTCTCGTACGTACCGCTCGTTACTGCCAGGATACGGGATTTTCCTTCGTTGACCGCCGATATTTCTTTCAGTCTCTTTCTGATCCTTACATTTCTCTTTATTATTATTTTTTCAAAATTCAACTGTTCCTTCCAGCATTTCTCTATCTTCATTTGATGGTATTTGAATGATTTCTTCAATCTTCCTTGAGGTCCTGTTTGAGAATGATAGTCTTTGAATTTTTTTGATAATATTTTTATTTATTCATATCCTGCTGACTGCAGTTATCCAATAAAAGCTCTCTAATTTCGCTGGACAATTATCAGTCTTTTATTGATTTCCATATTAAATGAGTTTATTGAATTATTTTCGATTCAACTGATAAAACATATCCACAAAATTTAAAACAAAAATTAAATAAATCCAAATATTCTCATAATAATAATGAAATTATTTGCTAATAATATCTAATACAGAATTAAAATACTTTCGAATAATATTTAATATTTTTTCGTGGTCGTTACATTTGTACAGTATTTTTTTATTTTGGTGAATTGATTAATATTTTTTAATTGTTGCATTAAAAGAAAAATTGCAAATCCAATAATCCCCCAAATTACCAGAATTCTCTAGATGATTACTCAAAAACATGAATCTAAATAATATATGCAGGCCGAATGATTTTTATTCTCATTCAAATTTTCATTATATAAATTACGACATTGATTGAGTATAACAACTACAGGCACGCAGTTAATAACAAGTCTAAATTAAGCTATAATCCTCAGTAGTGGCGGGTGATGGCTGGGTAGTAATGATCCATATGAAAATATAACGAGAGTACAGTTGGATCTGCAAAATATCTAAATTAGCGAATTCATTTTATCTCTCATTTACTAGAAATATCTCCACATCTCTCTTTTCTCTCATATATTCTCACTAACGGCAATTTGATAGAATCAAATGAAGTTTCAGTGAATTGAGAGGATTTCAATGATTATCCTGATGCTTCAATGCACTCTTGTTTCTCGCTAATTGTAGATATTCCAAATAAAATGAAATTTTATATTCGGAATTAATATTCCGTTCAATATATTTATTATCAAGTTATTGCAAAAGCTTATTATTATTCATCAATAATGTACCATAAAAAAATATATAATTCATCTAATAATTTTAATGTTATTATTATTATTATTTTGTTTCAGTGTAATAAAAATTGGTGGTGTTTGGATTAAACCAACTTGCTTCCATGTTTATGTAAGTACCTATTATTATTATTACTCTCAATAACTGTTATTCAATTTATTTAAAAATTAAAATTATCGTATTTTACTTCGTCATAAATATTTAATCATTTTAAATATATATTAAAAATAATTCGAGATGTTTTGTTTGTATGTGAATTGAATAGAGAAAGCCTTGAAGCTTATCTTCAATTTATGCAACATGTAAAAATAATTTGTGTGTTATCTAATAATATTTTCTAAGTTTTATGAAGTAAAGATTTTACATTTCGTTGAGACTCACGTACATATGTTTTGTTCACTTATCGTGTACTACTCAGACTTATTTCATTCCTCTTGTGGACCATAAAGACCTTCATTATGACTGCCTTTAATTATTAAATTTATTTTAAGCAGACTCTTTCTCTTTGTTAGAAGCAAAGTACTTTACTTTCCACAGAAAGCAGTTATACTAATTCCTAGTAAGCTGACCAGCTTCCCACACTGAGTGCTAATGAATTTTCTTCGTTTTTTCATCATTTTGTTTGCTCATTAGCGTCGTACATTTCAAACTTTTACATTTACTCGACTTGAATGCATGTCGTAGTTTTGAGAAAAAGCTGAAGCTGCAACGGTTTTTTTTTTGCCTATGTTCCATAATTACCTATGCTTCATAAAATTAATCAACTCATCAAAAGCCAAACTTTGGATGAATTCTAACATTAAATTAATCCTATATCAATTTTTTTTATTTCAATTTCTTTAGTATCATGGAGAAATAGAGATTCTAATGAGTTAATTTTTTAATTTTAATCTGGATATTTAACGATTTTTTGTCATTATCGAGAAAGATTTAACTAAAAGACACTCTAAAGGCACTTAAAGACTTTTTAGATTTTTTTTTTTATTCTTTCAAGCAGATTTTTTATTCTCTTGTCAGTTGTTCCTCCCATCAGGGAGTATCCTCAAAGCGGTGTGGTGGTAATTCAATCTTCCACACCTTCTCCACGATCTTAATCCAAAGATTACGTTGAGCTGACGCGAAAAAAGAAGATGAAAGTAAAGAAGAAAAAAAATAACAAAGAATGGAAGACTAATAAGAAGAGGGAAAAAATTAACAGAATTAAATATGCAAAAGTGAAGCCAATTGCATGACAAGTAGAAGAAATTATGAGGAATATTTTGTTTCCGGATTTTGATAATAAGTTGTCTGTAGTTTAGTCGTTATATATAGTTAGCAAACAACAAAAGTCTTTGTTTCGAATAAGACGCTGTGGTGGATTCACGTCCATGGAACATTAACCAAGCAGTCTGGCATCGTAGGCACTGTATATAGCATACATATAATATATCTACATAACTATGGTATCACCCCGGCGTAACGCGACGCGGTGAAACTACCCCGGAAACGGACGCGAGGGGAAGAGTGGGATGTTTGTGGTACACCGGAAAACGAAACAAATATAATACCAGTTCTCTAGAGATTGTCACGACGTAACGAGAGATAGTAATTATTTAATAATTATTTTGACAATAAATTTATACTTTGGAATTCAATCATTTTATTAAACGCTTTTTATTGACTATTTCGTTATTTTATTTGCAATGAACTGTTTCATTTGGAGATCAACAAGTTATGAGAAATTACGAATTAAAAATTGCAGAGAATTATGAATTTAATCCACGTTTATTTGAAATTAAATCAATCGATTATTGTAAATTAAATATTTATTATTTAATAATCCTTCCTGTTCTTTTACATCAATTAATTATTAAAAAAAAACAATATTATTTATCGAATTCTAAACTTTAAAACTTTAAAAATTCCCTCACAACAAAAACAATAAATCCTGAGAGCCTAAATGAAAAAATCCAATTCTCAAAAAAATATTCACCATATTTACAAATACATGAAGTATATTTAAGATCTTATTTCACTTCATTCGTAACAAAATTGAATGGGGTTTGGTACAAAAAGTGTCATTTTCCAAGCGATCGTTTCCTTACAGCCATATTTCAAATTTCAATCTTGGATTTTCTTGAGCATTTCCCCTCTACTCGGCCAGATCGAGGGTCGGCAATCTCACGGTTTTCCTCTCTACTTTTCTCGCTCGTACATACATGAAAAGGTAGACCGATAGTGGGAGTCGTAGAAGAGGAAGCAATTCATATATGTAGATCTGAGATTCGTGCGCCAGCAGGTTCGATTCCCGGCGAAGTTATTATCACATATATTAGACAACTGACCGAGTGCAGAGAGACGTAGTGGGATCATGTGGGGGTGTGTAACCCGAGGTCGGAGGTCTGGGATGAAGGGAACTCCTCATATGAGATACAATATCGCCTTGACTCGCTGGATCGTGGTTATGGTAAGAACCCTTTATTGTTTTATATTGTTTCGAGAGCGCCTTTATTATACGATTCCGCAGCGGCTGCAGGGTGTGAGTAAAGAAAAGAAATTGGAATAAAATTGCCGGCCCACATATATACCCACCTATATATCTATATAGTGGCCATTGAATTAGGTATAGAAGCAAAAGAAAATGAAAGAAAAAATTAGAGATAGATATTTTACGATCTAGAGTCCAGCCGTGGAAACTCCTTTATCATACATGGATTTTAAATTCAATGGAAAACTTGGGGAAAAATTAAATAATTTTTAATAGATAAAAATATTCAAGAGAATAAAATTCAATTTATTTTTATTGCAAAAAAAACAAAAAGAGATATTTTAAAATTTATTGCAAAAGTAGTAACATATTTGATATTGATGCGACTGTATAAGATATTTTTCCCTCTCATTTTCTTTTATAAAAGATGGTTTTTATCGTAATAATATCTAATTCTGTTGTGGAAAGCTTTTAAAGCTAGCTCAACAATAAATGATAAAAATAGCTAACGATAAATGTGGATAATGTCTGAAGTAATATTGGGGAATATATAGAGCTGATGAAAAATGTTAGCAAGATGGTATTATAAATGAGTTTACGAGAGTTTATGTGATGGAATGAGTGATAGGATACTGGTCATGACGATCTGATCGATAGTGATAATCGACGGCTGGTCCAATCGTTTCCGACCGCAAGCCAATTGTAATGCCAAGTAGAGAAATATCATCTACGCCAAGTCTCTCATGGTCGAGATACTGAGTAACACTTTGACGCCACAGAGAAACACGGCCAAGGGGCTTGTATTTACCTTGCGGTTTCAATCTGATCTTATTTAAATATAAATTACAGGGCCACAAGGCTTGTGTTCTCCATTATAAACGGTTGATGTTTGTGTTCAAATTTTCTCTCTTGCCAATTGCACCAGCTTGTCAGCACTTGAGCTCCAGGTGTCGCGTTTGAAATGGATTTTATCAATTTATTGCCTTTGTTTCTCAATAATCGTGACTCTTATTAGCTATTTTTCTTATTATTTATTATTATTGATCTTTCAAAATCATTTTCGAACAATCATTATACCGAGCTGTCGACAATAATCTATTTGCTGTGTTATATTTCTTTCATCAATAAATGAACACTCAACATTTATTGTTTTGGAAATCATTTTACGTAATAAAATGCTCGCTTTTTACTATTGGGGGAAAGTTTTTAGTGTAGTAAATATTTTAGTGATTTTTTCTCATCAGTTTAACGTTATTTATTGTAAAAAAAAATATTTTAAAATCATGAATAATTTAAATTGTCGTAAATATTTTTTTGCCCATTAGTTGACTTTCAATAATGATAAAATATTTATAATCAATTTTTTAAAATAAAAAATTAAAAGTTTTAGAATTCAATAGAATATTATTTAATTGTTTTACCTTTGTAATAATGAATTTATTCATAATTTTTTTAAGGTATTGATGATTGATGAGAAGAGTTGTTTTTTTATTGCTGAACGTAATGATATATTTTACTCAACATCTTGTTTGATTATTATTGATTCCAAAGTGATTTTCCAACAATCATTATCTCGAATTGACGATCGAACCGATTGAATTTGATTTGCCACATTCAGTCCTTCAAGTGATATTTTTTGTTTCTCTTTGACGGAAATTAGATTCCTTGGAATTCCCGAGGAAACATAAGGGGTAAGCAAGAGTGTAAGAGGAAGAGAGAGATAAAGAGTTGCTGCGTGACGGATTGCAGATCGAGCAGGGATAATTTCCTCAACCCGTGCTCGCATTCTCAGCGATTAATCGCTCGATCGAGGATAAAAAAATTCAACGGGTACTCTGTAACCGCTTAATTTTCTGAAGAACGCAAAAAAGTCGTAGAGTTTGAGTTTGTCTGAGTGTTCACTTTGTCGACAAGAGCTATTATAATTATGATCCCGTATTTTTTTATGTCCCTGGATAATTATTTCTTCAAATTAAATTAAAGTTTTTCGAAACAAATTATTATTACCGTCGTTTTAAAGGCATTTCCGATGATATTCTTTACGGTCATCACTGATAAGAGAAAAGAAACAAATAATTTTATATTTTATGAATAAATTTTATATGTGTATGTATTCTAAGAGCTTATGGAAATGCTCCAGTTTTTAATTTGATGCACCATAAGGTACCATAAAAAGGTGATACGCAGGTGCATATGACAGATGGTTTTACTTCCGGCAGATAGATTAAATGTTTATGCGATTTTGTTAATTCCATTCGACAAGTCGGCACGAATGATCCACGTCATCTAATGGACTATGATAATTGGAAGGCAGTTGTGTTGATGATGAATAGTTGTTCATCAAACTGCGGGGAATAACAAACCCCAAGAGTCAATTGAATATTCATAGCATAGATCTAAATTGATATCAGTCTAAAGTAATATTAGTATTATACATAGAAAAATATTTAAGAAGTGGGTGAAAAAAACCAACTTCATTTCTTTTTTTAATATTAATTTATGCAAAAAAATATTTAATCTATTTTTTGTCTTTGCTATCAGAATATTTTCATTGCATTGTCGAGGTTTAACTCAGATTAAAAAATGGGTCTGCGCTTACTTTGTGCTCTGACGACGAACTTCCTATTCATTGAAATCCATAATT